TTTATATTTAATTTTAAAAAATAAACAAAACTTATATTAAAATTAAATTTTATAGAAATTAAAAATATAGATTAATTTATTATATATCCCCATTCAATGGCATGGGTATTGTCTAGTACAACTAGAAAATACAACTAGAAAATACAACTTGGCTCACACGTGGTAGTCCACGTATTTAGTCTCTACCGTGGTCTTTATAATTTTGTAATGTAAGGATACGGAACAACTTTTTTTTTTATAATTTTTATATAATTTTTATATATTATTAAATGAGTATCTATATGTTGATTCAATACATTTTAAGAGGGAGTGAATTAGAGTTCAAAATTTTTCTTTCTCTTGCAACCACAAATTGAAAATTAAAAAGAGAAGGGAAGAAAAACTTGCACAAAAATTTTATATAAGTTTAGTCCAACCACTTGACATTTAATCCTGTACTTTAACTTCAATTATCAAAAATTTCCTCTATACTTTTCACTAATACTCAAAAGTAGGTTAAAGAAGTTACCTAATTCTTTTGCAAGCAAATGTGTTTCACTCAATCTCACCCCTTTTCAATCTAACCTAACAAACCTCAGAACAAAATCACTCTTAAATAAATAGATCACGTTCTCCTGAAATCACTTACAGCTAGTGTTGCAAAAAGCATTAAGTGCTATAAGGCGACATGCATCTACCTAGAGTATAGGTGGAGCCTTGGGAGCTTTGATGACTTGTGCACCATTTTTTATTTTTTATTTTTTAAAATTCTAAAAAATTTAGAAAATTAGGAAAAAACTTTTAGAAAATTAAATAGATGTCTAAAAGTATTTAAAAAAATAGAAATAGTAGTTTCTCTACTTTTCTTTCCATCAGGTTTTAAAAATATATTAACTTAGACATATTAGCTTTGCTCATTTCAAAATTAGAAGCAGCCCTTGAGATAAAATCCCACGAAGAGAAATAGGCTGGCCCAATTGAACTTGGCAACAAAAAACAAAGTTTTAGACTCTATACACAAAGTAGTCTAGTAGATATATATGGGCCCAACCGTACGATGATATTCCGACCTGATCAAATAAATTTGGGGACCCGAGATTTAAACCCGATTAAGAACTTTTTTTTTTTTCTTCGAGAGTGAAAACAAAATCCTTTATCTCCCTCGTCAACAAAATGCTTTTTGAAGCTAAAATTGCAGGCGATGATTTGGATTTGTGCTTGATTTCTTGTTATTCAATTTAAATTTAAACTGCGTTAGAGAATTGAGCAATATACGAGAGTGCTTGATCGCACTTATGTGCTGCTCAAATATGCACCTTCTATTTTAAATGCTTTTAAGTGTTGCTCTATAGCACCTTCTATTTTCCATGTACGACGTCTTCTAAAACTCTGTGTGCTTTCTCAATCACCTTTCAGCTAAGGTGGGCGATAGATGTCCACCCACTACAAAGGTGTTGGCCCAAGCGGTGCTTTCTGCAACATTGCTCATAGAATAAGATTACAGAATTAGAAGACAAGATCACTTAATGATCAAATATGCAAATGAAAGTATAAATAATTAAATGTTTGCAAGAGAAAACTCAAGTAAGTTATTGGAAATCTTCAATGAAGTGTTTAAGAAGCTCATAAGTGCGTTCATCAACCCTATTTATCTTTTTTTGGTTAAAAATAGTTATTTAAAAAGATTAAAATGCATTAAATGCTTTACAAATTCGCCAAATTCAAAAAATTGGTCATCAGTATATAGGGTTGAGAGTTAATTCTTCAAGAAGTTATGGGATCCGTAGTGCAATCCAAGAATTGAATCTTCATCCTAAAATTTGAATACATAACTTCAAGAATCGATCTTAAAAACGAGAGGCGAATCTATCTTGTGCCTTCATAAGTATTGGAACTATCCAAACGTTTGAGTTGAACCTTCGAGGCCTACCAGTCAAATATGCCTATCAGGAGTTGACTCGTCTATTGATTAGGCCTTTTGCTTCATTTTAGCTTGAAATCCGAATGTTTGAATAGAGAATTGAATCTTCATTAATTTTCCACAGTTCTTATTGAACTATATTGGAGTTTTGAAGTGCATTCTTAAACTCAAGTTCATTAAATATCATGAAGAGTTTTATTTTTATCAAAATTATTTAGAGTTCAACAATACATATAATATCACATGTTTTAGTAATATAAAAAGAGATATATAAGGTTGTAGGAAAAAATAATAAAAAATTATCTTTCAATTATTTTTTAATTTTCTAACTAGTGGTTAATTAAAAAAAAAAGTTCTATATTTTACTGTTTAAACTGTTTTAAATGATAAAATAATAACCATTAAATAAAAAAAGTTCTCCTAATCTCCAAAGAGTAACATTCATTTAATAATTAAAGTTTACAATCCAAAATATTCTATATTGTATACCACTTTTCCGTTAAAGAAATTACACATAAATTGAGGCAAAGACTTCTCAACGTTAAGGAAATGATAACAAATGAACTGGAAAGAAGCCTGAGAAATCAAATTAAAAATTGGCGCCACCTGCGCCGATGATTACTATGATCAGAAAAGTGGCGAGGATTAATCAAGATCAGGAGAGAAACGCTTTGACAGAGTGTTAAATGGAGGGTAGCGGGGGTCCACAAATAAGTTCGAAAGCTAGTTGTTTCGAGCTTACCAGCTTGTTTTCTTTTCTTAACGCCCCACAGCCCCACCCCACCATCTCCTCTTCTCCACTCTTTAAAAACTGCCCAAATTCCCTCACCTCCTCCCTCACACTAATTCAGTTTCCCATTCTCAAAATTCATTCTTTGATGATGGCTGAGGAGGATCGGAAGGAAGTTCAGCAGGGGGTTCCACTAGCGGAGGAGGTGCGTGAGGTGCCGGATGTGCAGGCTGCTGCAGTTGAGAGAGAGCTTCCTCCGGTGCCGGAAGAGGAAGCAGTGAAGCCCAAGCAAGAGGAGCAGATTTTGAAGGATTCTGATAAGGAGAAGATTCCTCAATCTGGTTTTTTTAAAGAAGAGAGCACCAGGGTTGCTGATCTTTCCGAGAATGAGAAGAAGGCGTTTCAGGAGTTTAAGCAGCTTGTTCAGGATGCGCTGAACAACCATGAGTTCAGTGCGGGAACAACACCGCTACCACAGGAGACGACCAAGGAGGAGGAGAAGAAGGGGGAGGATCAGGTGGTAGAAGAAGTTGGAAAAGCAGAGGCTGAAACAGAAAAGGAAGACAATGTGGCGGCTGAAGAAACAGAGCAGCCACCGGCGGGAGAGACAAAAACTGATGTTGCCGATGACGACGGCGCCAAGACAGTGGAGGCCATCGAAGAGACAGTCGTTGCAGTTTCTACTTCGGTTCAACCAGAACAGCCACAGGTGGCCGAAGTGAAACCCGATGTGGGTTCATCCGAAGGATCGAAAACAGAGAAAATAGAGGCTCAAATTCCACCGGAGCAAGTTTCCATCTGGGGCATCCCACTTCTTGCCGATAAGAGAAGCGACGTAATTCTCTTGAAATTTCTCCGAGCCAGAGATTTCAAGGTCAAGGACGCATTCACCATGATCAAGAACACAATTCGCTGGAGAAAGGAATTCGGCATTGACGAATTGATTGAGCAAGACCTGGGATTGGGCGATGATCTGGAGAACGTGGTATTCATGCACGGCGTTGATAAAGAAGGACATCCGGTGTGCTATAATGTTTACGGTGAATTCCGAAACAAGGATCTTTACCGGAAAATATTTTCCGATGAGGAAAAGAGGCTGAAGTTCTTGAGGTGGAGAATCCAATTCCTGGAAAAAAGCATAAGGAAATTGGATTTCTCCCCTGGTGGAATTTCCACCTTTGTTCAGGTCAATGACTTGAAGAATTCACCTGGATGGGAGCTTAGGCAGACTACCAAACAGGCCCTTCAATTGCTCCAAGACAATTACCCTGAATTTGCAGCAAAACAGGTGAAATTCCGACCTTTTATTTCCTTCAAAAGAATTTTAATAGTAGAAATTTGGGTTACAATTTTGGGTTTTTGGGTTGTGTTCTTTAGGTGTTCATCAATGTGCCGTGGTGGTACCTCGCATTCAACAAGATGATTAGTCCATTCTTGACACACAGAACCAGAAGCAAGTTTGTCTTTGCTGGTCCTTCAAAATCTGTAGAAACCCTTTTGAGGTCAGTCTCCAAATCTCTGCATTTGAACCTTTCTTTGCCCATGTTTTACCATTTTGCCATGTACACTAAACCTAAACAAGGCATGGAAAAATGTATAGGAAACATGAATATGTAAATAGCTAGACTGAATTTCTCTGAATATATTGGGCATTATATGCTACTACAACCAATAGTCTTGAGGTACGTACTGACTGGCTTAGTACTAATTGGCAATAGGGATAGGTAAAAAATGAAATAATATAATTTCATTTCCCTTTTCAGGTATATTGCTGCAGAACAAGTCCCAGTTAAATATGGGGGCCTAAGCAAAGAAGGTGAATTTGCCACCACAGATACCGTGACGGAGATAACAGTGAAGCCATCATCCAAACACACGGTAGAATTCCCCGTATCTGAGGTGGGTGCGATTTCTCTTTCCTTCTTTTCTGGTCAGCAGTATTTGAGAATCCAAAGAAGAAATATTTTGACAACTGCGTAGCGATTATGCCCAATGTCATCGAACAGGGCATATTCTTACTTTGGATACTCTCTCGAGTCTCGTGTCCATTATTGTCAAGCTTATTATTCATGTCTTTACCCTTTTGTTGTCCTTTCAGACATGCCTTCTGACATGGGAATTAAGGGTGGTCGGATGGGAAGTGAGCTACGGTGCAGAGTTTGTGCCGATGGCAGAAGATAGCTACACTGTGATCATCCAGAAGACCCGGAAAGTCGGTGCCGGAGAAGAACCGGTGGTGTGCAGCAGCTTCAAGTCCGTCGAGCCGGGGAAGGTTGTTATTACCATTGGCAATCCTACTTCTAAGAAGAAGAAGTTTCTCTACCGCTTGAAGACCAAGCCAACTACTGATTGAGATAAACCAGTCAAACCGGAGCTTGAAGGAGAATGAGAAGCATTTTTTTTTTTTTGGCATTGTT